TTATTCAAAATAAAAAAAAATTAGTTAGAAAAAATTCTTTATAACCTAAAGTTATATGATACTGCACACAAATAGTCAACTACTAAAGATTACTTGTTAAAGCATGCAACTAATTTTTTAAGTTTTCTATTTACATCGCGCTATTTCTTGGCTCTCTTGATATTTTGGCAACCTGCTCTTACTTTTACAATATGAATTTCCTGCAAGTCCTGTTTTGTTTTTAAGAGCATCTAAGAATTTCCATATTGTGGGATGATGATGTGACAATTGCTCCAAAAATATCATCTGCCATCCTTTAAGGCTGTTATTAGTTCTAGGTAAATCAGCATTAACTCACTGAAAGAAAGACCACATACGTATTTCAAACATAGATATTTCGAATAATTATCATTTTGTGTAATTGTCCATACGATTAATTTTTAATTAAAACAATTTACAATTAGAATAAATGTTTTTCGAAGAATTATTTTCGGACAATTTTTGCGCTACGATGGAAACAAAAGAAAACTTATTCTTGACATTAGAAAGAGACACTTGAAATATGTAATGATGATCTGAGAAACAGCGAAATAGTTTGCCTGTGGAAGACGATATTAGCTCTCGATAAAATAATTTAATCGGTCGAGCACTGTGAGGAGGGACGAATTTGTAAACAGTCACTATTAATGCTGATAATGCAAGACTCTCCTAGCGATTGAGTTCTTTGAGTGAATGGTGCGTTTATGAAAAATAAATACGACTTTCTCTCTGACGTGCGTCCATGGACTAGGGGTTAGAATCTCCGACATACCAAATCGGCCTGAAGCGATCGGATGACTAGCCACACTGAAGGGAAACAGTCTGTCTGTGGATGACTATATATATATATATATATATATATATATATATAGCGAAAGAGGTCTACTCTTTATCAGGAGCTAAATATGAAGAAATATTGTTTTAAGGTGTGGTATATTTATGGGATAAAGAGATAGAGCGTATGTAAATATAAAAATAAAAGTGAACATTGAAGTCAACACTCAGAGGCGACAGGCTGTTTCATGCCAGACGCAATCGTCAGGCCGCGTATCCAGCATGGAACAGCCTGTTGCCTCTAAAATGTTGACTTCAGTGTTCACTTTTGCATTTCGGATTACAATTTCGTTGTCCTCTTATTACCGAGAAGTAAAAACAAGAACAAAATCTGTTTCCATACCTGAGGATGTCTGTAGGAACAGACGAAAGCTTGTAAAAATTTAAAAAGACCTTATGAAACTGGAATTTATAAACAGGGATCATATCATTCTTATACAGATTCGGGGTTGGTGTATCTTATTGATATTGTTTGCAAAGATGTATTCTCGCCATTTAAATCATTAACCTCTATATTTGTTTTTTGTGTGAATGATTCATGTAATTATATATATATATAATTATTTATTTAAAAATATGATTCCAAAACGCTACATAAGAAGTCTCATGTTTCAAAACAAGAGCCGAAAACTTCAATATAATTATTTAAATTAAATTGAGTTAAAATAAGCTCTGTTCCATCTTCAAGCGATATTTTTTTGGAACCAAATTGATTCCAAAAAAGATTTCGCTTGAAGATGGAACAGAGCTTATTTTAACTCTATTTAATTAAAATAATTATATTGAAGTTTTCGGCTCTTGTTTTGAAACATGAGACTTTTATGTAGCTAATTTTTTAAAAAATACTTATATTTATGCTGGACTTTTTTAAAAATACTAAGGGATTATTATTTACCTAACCAGTTCCTTCCTATTTTCTATATATTTTCACATAATATATATATATATATATATATATATATATATATATATATATATATATTATATTTCGCTTTCTGAGACCCGGTTCGAATCTCTCACCATGGTCGATTTGTCAGGTAGGTGACTTTTTGATGTTATCGGTCTTGAGGGGACGATAATGCCCAAAAACCATACCAGGGGTTGACCCAAGCCTTGTGAATGAAATTGGATAGACGAGACTCTTGGGCGCCGTCGATGGCTGTGCTAGCACGAAGTTACAAGCCATCGTGACCGAGGGGTTGAGTGTGCTGGCCTTGTTCAAATTGTTGATCACGCTAGATAAAGCGCTCTCTCCCAGAAACTGTAACTAAGGTCTGATCAGCATAGTTGCAGTAGAAACAACAGGTTGGCTCTGTAGGTGTTGAACAAATACAAATGTGCCTGAGCTGTTATCTGCAGCAGGGATTAGCTAGCCGCCCTAGTAGACAAGCATCCATTGATACGCATAGCTGAAATGTTACAACGTTCGCATTCTGACCATGAGACACGGGTTCGAATCTCACCACGGCTGATTTGACAGGAACGAGACTTCCTGACGTTATCGGCCTGAAGGGGTCGATCCCGGCTTGCAGTACCTTTGGAAAGTGCCCGAAAAGCATACCACGGGTTAACCCAAGCCTTGTGTGTGAAATTAGGTAAACGGACCAATTGGAGGTCGTCCAGAGCAGTGCTAGCACGAAGGCACAAATCATCGTGACCGAGAATTTTAGCGTGCTGGCTTTGTTCAAATTGTTGATCAAGCTAGATTACACGGTCTCTCCCAGTAAGTGTAACTAAGGTCTGCTCAGCCTAGTTGCGGTATAAAACCAGAGTTTGGCTCTGTGCGTGCTGAACAAACACAAATGTATCTGAGCGAGCGTCTGCAATAGGGATTGGCTAGCCGCCTTAATAGACGGGTATCCCCGAATACGACTGGCCTGCTATTATATATATATATATATATATATATATATTATTATTATTATTATTAGTAGTAGTAGTAGTAGTAGTAGTAGTAGTATTTGCATTGATAAGTCCAGGAAAATTCTTTCCCATGGATGAAATTATCATCTGTATGAGGTAAATTGATTGGATCTCATTAATTGTAATTCACACACACACACACACATACACACACATACATACACTTACACACACACACACATATATATATATATATATATATATATATATATACATACATACATATATATAATATGGATGTATATTATCACATCTGGTTTCTTTGACGGGTTGTTATTCACTCGTTTGCTAGCAGAAAGTCACACCTTCAAGAAAAAAATGACTGAACAACAAAATCTAATAGAGGACAACAGGAAACTACATTTTCCAACTGGAACGAACTACCGTTCTTATATTTTCATGAACCCATTTTTTTCTTAGCCAATGAGTCATAGCGATTTGGCTGAGGCCGAAAATTATTGGAGGTGATTTTACAAGAGTTTTAGCGTTTTATTTATTTATTTATTTATATATTTATTTATGTTTTAGTCGAACGTGTTGAGGATGAGGAAAGATGCGTTATTTGAAAAAGTGTTTGGAGGGGGAAAAAGCATTATGCAATTTCGGGACAATTTATGGACGTCCCCTCGGGAGTTTTTCCCAGGTAGAGAAATGGTTCATGGTAAAAATAGGAATGACTAAAGTTCCGTTAAGGTCATTGGCCGATGAAAAACGAATTATGAGACCGCACTTTCTTTCCTCTATTCTTTTTTTTTTCTTTTCTATTGACCATTTTTATAATATTGGCAGCGATTGTTATGAGTTTCACAGATTTTACTTCCCTTTTTCTTTTTTCTTCCTATTTTCCATAACTCGTATTTTCTTTTACATTCTTCTTCTTTTTCCTTTTTCTTTCTATTTGTCCTAACTCTTTTTTCTCTTTTTCTTTCTTCTTTTTCTTTTTCATCCGACTTGTCATAACTCTTTTCTTGCTTCTTCTTCTTTTTTTCTTTTTCTTCTTATTTGTCATAACTCTTTTTTCTTTTTTTCTTGCTTATCCTTCTTTTTCTTTTTCTTACTATTTGTCATAACTCTTTTTCTCTTTTTTTCTATCTTCTTTTTCTTTTCTCCTTCTTCTTCCTGTTTGTCATAACACTTTTTTCTTTTTCTTTCTTTCTTTCTTTCTTTCTTTCTTTCTTTCTTTCTTCTTCTTCTTCTTCTTCTTCTTCTTCTTCTTCTCCTCCTCCTCCATCTTCTTCTTCTTCCTATTTGTCATAACACTTTTCTCTTTTTCTTTCTTTCTTTCTTTCTTTCTTTCTTTTTTCTTTCTTTCTTACTTTCTTTTTTTCTTTCTTCTTCTCCTTCTGCATCTTCTTCTTCCTATTTGTCATAACTTTTTCTCTTTTTCTTTCTTTTTTCTTTCTTTCTTCTTCTTCTTCTGCATCTTCTTCTTCCTATTTGGCAAAACTTTTTCTCTTTTTCTTTCTTTTTTCTTTCTTTCTTTCTTTCTTCTCCTTCTGCATCTTCTTCTTCCTATTTGGCATAACTTTTTCTCTTTTTCTTTCTTTTCTTTCTTTCTGTCTTTCTTTCTTTCTTCTTCTTCTCTTTCTGCATCTTCTTCTTCCTATTTTCCATAATAGTTTTTCACTTTCTCTTTCATTCATTCTTTCATTCTTTCTTTCTTCTTCTCCTTCTGCATTTTCTTCTTCCTATTTGGCATAACTTTTTTCCCTTTTTCTTTCTTTTTTCTTTCTTCATTTCTTTCTTTCTTTCTTTCTTCCTCTTCTTCTTTTTCTCTTTCTTCTTCTTCACCTTCTCATTCTTAATCTTCTCTTTCTCCCTCAGATTCTTCTAGTTCTTCTTCTTCTTTTACTTCGTTTTTTTCTTCCTTATTTATTGTTTCAAAGAATACGGTGTTTTCTTTCTTTTTCTATCTTTTCTATTCGTTTTTTTTCTTTCTTTTTTTGTTGTCCATCTTTCGTTAGTTTTTAAATTTCCTTTTCTAATATCTTTTTTTCTTTCCTCCTCCATTTTTTTTTTCGATCTGATATATTTCTATTCCTTCCTCGTTCATCATTTTCTTTTCCGTTTCTCTTCTTTACTTTCCTTATCTTATATTTTTTTATTATTTTTTTTTTCCTTCCGTTTCTCTAAACAATTTTCTTTCATTCTCTGGACCTGACATCCATCCATCCTGGGAAATTATTTAGAATCATAAAAGCTTAAAGTGAGTGCTGTCGGCGTTTATGTTTTTAATATCTATTTACACCTGTCTCTGTCATTATCCATTATCGTTATCCCCAAATGTTCTATCACATAATATCCGGACGATTTTCTCAGGTCTTTCCTTGTCTTTCTTTTTTTTCTTTTTTCTTTCTTTTTTCCTTCATTTTGTTTCTTAGTGCTTAACGTTTCTTTTCTCTTTCATTTTTTTTCTTTCTTTTTATTTCCTTCGATACTTTCTCTCTTTTTCCATTTGTATCTTACGACTTTCTTTTCACTATTTTTTCCTGCCATTGTGTATTCAATAATTTCTGTATTTATTCATTTATTTCTGACTGTCTTTCTTTTTTTCTTTCTTTCTCTTTATCTCTCTTCCATTTTGATTATGGGTAAATTGTCGTCTAAATGGCGCCAAAATGAACACATCCCATTTTAAGAGACAGGCAGAGTGCGATGGATAAATTGTCGTCTAAATGGCGCCAAAATGAAAATAACACTGGCATCGCATTGTAAGAGACATGCAGAATGCGATGGATTAATTGTCGTCTAAATGGCGCCAAAATGAACACATCCCATTTTAAAGAGTCATGCAAGTGCGATGGATAATTTCTCGTCTAAAGGCGCCAAAATGAACAATGACATCCCATTTAAGACATGCAGAGTGCGATGGATTAATTGTCGTCTAAATAGCGCTAAAATGAAGACATCACCGACATCCCATTTTAAGAGACATGCAGAGTGCGATAAATAAATTGTCGTCCAAATGGCACCAAAATGAACACATCTCATTTAAGAGACATGCAGAGTGCGATGAATAAATTGTCGTCTAAATGGCGCCAAAATGAACACATCTCATTTAAGAGACATCGCAGAGTGCGATCAATAAATTGTCGTCTAAATGGCGGCAAAATGAATGCATCTCATTTAAGAGACATCGCAGAGTGCGATCAATAAATTGTCGTATAAATGGCGCCAAAATAAACACATCTCATTTAAGAGACATGCAGAGTGCAATGAATAAATTGTAGTCTAAATGGCGCCAAAATGAACACATCCTATTTTAAAGAGACATGCAGAGTGCGATGGATAAATTCTCGTCTAATGGCACCAAAATGAAGACAACACTGACATCCCATTTTAACAAATGAATTTTCCAAAATAACTCACAAATATCTTGCCTTCAGTTCATCTTAGGTGTTCCAAAGAATCTTTTTCGTCTCTCACTCAACTATGCCCCATGCATAATAATCAAGAGGGTTGCAGTTTGATGAGTTAACTGGTTAGATGTAGAAATTATCTCACAGACACGACTGAGTTCTCCTGCTTGTGTGGCATGATGCATAGTCAAGTTGCCAGAAATAGGGTCTTCCAGTAGCCTCCCTCTTGACATAGAGCAGCACTGAAGTCTCAAGGCACTTGATGTAGGCCTACATGTTATGTCTGTGGCCCTGTAGGAAGATGAATGAAGGCATAACATCACCTTCACTAGTAATCACTCCAAACACCTTCGTAATCATCATTAAACTCATCCAAGAATAATACGAAAAAATAGCTTTAACTACCTTCCCTGACCAAAACAAACTATCAAATAAACGATCAAAACTAATCTCAAAGATTTTTACTCCGTTAAACGAATAAATAAATACATATAAAATAAAAGTAAAAAAATAAATAAAATAACAAGCAAAATAAATTCATCCAAATAAATAAATAAACAAACCGCTCCCGCAAAAATAACCGTCAGAATGGATTACCCACAATGCACCACTGACCCATGTATAAAAATAGACGAAAAAAAAACCCAAGAACATGTGGCCTGATTATAGTATCTAGCGTAAAATAGCCTGTTGTCTCTGAGTGTTGACATCAATGTCCACTTTTATATTTACATACGCGCTATCCCTGATGTTGAGCACTTTATCCTATAAATATAGCACGCCTTAAAACTATATTTCTTCACACACACACACACACACACACACACACACATATATATATATATATATATATATATATATATATAGCCCACATTAAAACTATATATATAGCACAACTTAAAACTATATTTCTTCATATATATATATATATATATATATATATATATATATATATATATATATATATATATATGAATACATCTAGTTTTTAAGTTGTGCTATATTATATATAGTTTTAAGGTGTGCACACCTAAAACTATATGTGATATAGCACAACCTAAAAACTAGATTTATTCATATATATATATATATATATATATATATATATATATATATATATATATGAAGAAATGCTATATTTATATATATATATACTTGAAGAAATATACTTTTAAGATATGCTATAGTATATATAGTTTCAAGGTGTGCTATATATATATATATATATATATATATATCTGAAGAAATATAGTTTTAAGATGTGCTATATTTATGGGATAAAGTGCTCAATGGCAGAGATAGAGCATATAATATGTAAATATAAAAATAAAAGTGAATATTGAAGTTAACACTCAGAGGCGACAGGTTGTTTTATGCTGAACTCTGTCGTCAGGCCGGCTGACGGTTGCGTCTAACATGAAACAGCCTGTCACCCCTGAGTGTTAACTTCAATGTTCAATGTTATGGTGCCTAAAGGAAGTGTGGCAAAAAGCGTAGAGTTTGGATCCCATTTGGATATACGCGAATGATTTAGTGAGATCTCCATTTCGAAACAGGATATTCTTCTTTTTTTTGTTGTTTTTTTTTTTTTGCAATAGATTTTCTCATTCGATTGTTGTTGTCGTTCTTGAAGGGGAAGAACAGGAACAATATGGCCGCCTGGGAAATAAATGTCCAAAGATGTCAAAAACGCACGAAGACAGATATGTACGACGACCTCTGGAGGAAATTTATACCTTACCGTTAAGCGTTATTAGTGAATTGGGAATTTCATCTATCTATCTATCTATCTATCTATCTGTATACATATATATATATATATATATATATATATATATATATATATATATATATATATAGAATGATAGATAGATAGATTAATCGAGTTAGAAAATGAATATATATAAACCTATTCATTTCTAACTCGACTATTCATATCTATCTATCCCAAACTATTCATTTATCGCAATCTATCTATCTATCTATCTATCTCTCTCTCTCTCTCTCTATATATATATATATATATATATATATATATATATAGATATAGATATAGATATATAGATATAGATATAGATATGAATAGTCGAGTTAGAAATGAATGAAGCATATATAAATATATATAATATATATTTCTAACTCGACTATTCATATCTATCTATCCCAAACTATTCATTTATCGCAATCTATCTATCTATCTATCTATCTATCTATCTATCTATCTATCTATATATCTATCTATCTATCTATCTATCTATCTATCTCAGTCTATTCATCTATATCTAGTTAGCTCAGTCTATACAATCCTATCTATTTGTCTATCTCCCTCTATTCATTTATTTCTATGTGTATAACTATCACACCGAATTCATTACTATCTCGATTATCCATATCTATTTCAATTTGTTCATTATCTATCTATCTATCTATCTATCTATTTATCTATCTATCTATTTCAGTCTGTTCGTTATCTATTTATCTCATCCTATTCCTTTCTCTCTCTCTCTGTTTCTCTCTATCTATCTATCTATCTATCTATCTATCTATCTATCTATCTATATATATATATATATATATATATATATATATCATTCTATTAATTTCTCTCTATCTATCGATTTATTTCTATCTTTCTCAATCCTTTACCATGCTGTCAAAAAACAAGAAACTCAGGCTGCAGTTCGGTAATGATCACAAAAGTGGGACAATAGAAAATTGGGCAAAGCTTGCCTGAGACTCGATTTCTCTTTAGTGATTCGGGGGAAAGCGCCAGTATTTGGCGTAAACAACATATAAAGCTAAGACTGCTGCTGCTGCTAATGCTGCTGCAATGGCATAGGGAATATTTTCTCGCCATACACTGGACCCACGGTACCAATAAAAGATCGTTTTAATGTCACAGCCAAACAAGGTTTTCTGGCTAACTACGCTCCTCAATTTATGAGTACGGAGAACGTATTCTCTGGTGGCCACTTCCAACAAGGACAATGTATCGTATCACAAATCGAAAATAATGACAGATTGGTTCATGGAACTTCAATGCCTTTTAAATTAGCCTCCATCGCCAGCAATCTCAATCTGTAGAGAAAAACTTCGCGATGTGACACGAAAGGAATTGAATTCCTCAACGTTCAGCTGGAGAGTCTAAAAGAATTGAGCGACGGCATAATAATTGAATGGATGCAAATTTCGAAATAACGCCAAGAAGAATTCTAAAGACACAAGGGGTCCAGTACAAGAAGAATGAGCCAACCGGTTAGTGTATATATATATATATATATATATATATATATATATATATATATATATATACGCATGCACAATGGATTAATTATAAACACAACCGTCAATAATAGCAGATATTCAAAAAACATCTTTCGGTCGACATACAGGTATATCGTCTTCAAGTTTTTGGATTTTATAAGGAAAAAAACACATGCCTGATGATGAATAGAGGACTAATCGTAAGTACTAGCATTTTAACATCAAATAAACTGAAAACTACAGACAACAAGTTTATCGACGAGGATCAAACTCGCACTATGGATGAACAGTATTTTAATGCATATGCGATGGATGTCGCCAATAATCGCATTAATACTTCTGATTGATTCTATGTGTGGTTATTTCTTCATATGCAATATATATATATATATATATATATATATATATATATATATATATAATGAACAAAGATATTTCCTATGTTTATACATTCTTTTTATAGATACAAAAATTTAAGTAAATGCTCTGTTTATAATAAACAGTATTAAATAACATTTACTGGCCTGAATTCCCGAGAAATTATCATAGAAAATATTCGTCCTCCGACAGGAATCGAACCTGTATCCTATACGGAACCGTCATATAGCCTGACGTATAGGATAATGGTTCGATTCCTATCGGAGGACGCATATTTTTTTATGATAATTTCTCGGACATTCAGGCCGGTAAATGTTGTCAATACTGTTTATTATAAACAGAGCATTTACTTCAATATTTGTATGTATAAAAAAAGAACGTATAAACGCAAAAAAGCAGTTGACATCCACGGTTATAGAACCCGTCTGTCCTGATATCTACTCATAGCTAGAGGCAGAAGAGTATTCACACCTTTTCCAAGAGTATTACCACGTAAGTAAATGCAATGGATTCGACTGGAATTCGAACTTGTCTCTCCCATTCCTCAATCCAAGCCCCTATCCATTACTCCAGGGGGCTTTAAATCATTTTATATATTATATCATGTTGATTCTATATTGCAATACTGATTATATTCAATGGGCCATATGACATGGCCATATTAAAATTAAAAACTTTTGTTACGTTTGTGATACTACACATGCGCAAGAACTGAGGATGCTGGGAATTTTTTTTTTCTTTATTTGGCCGATTCTATTTAGATTATTTTTTCTTTTTGTTTCCATCACTTTTGATATTAGATTTCCCACAGTGTGATAATAGAAGATCTGTCAAGAATGGTGAAATGCTGTAAGATCCAGTGTGCAAATTTACTGCAGATAAACTTGCGATCGAGAGACTCTCTAGACATTTTTGTCGTTGTGAATTGTTTCTCAGTAGCATTTATCATGTCAAAATTATGGCCAGTCTCGTTACGGTAGGGAACAAACTCATTTGATATATTGTTTTGTAACATGTCCCTTTTATGTTCATATAATATTTTATATAGATTCCTTGACGTCTCTTCTATATATTTCTGGGACAATTATTACAAGTGATCGTATAAATTTCTCCTTCAGGTTTTAGCTTATTGTTTTGTTTAGTATTGACTAAGTCTTTTGTTGTTTTAGATGTAATAGTAACAGATTTTATGCTGAGTTTAGATAGATTCATTCCTATTGTAGATAAGAAAATATTAGTTTTATATTTTTGATTCATTGTGTTTGTCAGGGTTTTTTTTTTTTCTATTCTGGAATATTTTATGATTCTTTTGTTTCGCATTGAATATAAGATGATTAGTGTACTGAAGAAGCTTGGAAGTTTCTTCAATGTATTTCTCCTCTTCATGTAAATATTCAGGACTGCAAATTCTGAGTGCTCTTAAGTAGAATCTGATGATTATATCGGATTTTATTTTGTTATGATGAGAATAGAAATTTATTAGAACGTTTTTGTTGGTTGAATTCTGGTGAACACCAATTTTTAAACAGTTGTTAACGTGGCGTAGCATGATATATAGGAAAGATAAGGAACTGTATTCTTCTATTTCGTATGTAAATTTTATTGCATGTTCGACTGTTTAGTTTATCTTCCAGGTCAGGTAATTCAGTAAATCACGAGGATATATTAATAGAGCATCATCAATATATCAGAAGTATGTTGATTGATTGGGTAAAATATTTTGGAAATGACCATATTTGAGAAATTCAACGAAGATACATGCGATAACTCCACTAAGAGGTGATCCCATTGGTAACCCAATTTTTGTTTGTAAAAATCCGCATTAAATGTGTAATAGCATTGATTGGCGATGAGTCGGCAGATTTTTATTTTTTTGCAATTGATAGGGAAAGTTTATTTTTATTGTGCTAGATGTTACGGTTTTTTTGGGTATATAACGCATATAACTAGTGAGCGAGTCAGAATGACTTATTTCCCTTTATAGTCGACCAATGGAAGGTTGACCAATCCGAAGCCGCACAACACTGTATTCGTCGTGTATAAAGGCGGCCATCTTGTTTCGTCTACCGGAAGGACCAAAGGCGACCAGGAAAAGGATGAACTACACTCTGTTGTGATATCCACTGCGAACCTCCACTATGCTTTCCTACTGTCTCCGAAATATTCACTGCCAACCTCTGGATTCTATATTCAAGGACGACCGTCATGAAAATGTCTAACATAGGTTATGAGCCCAGATCACGATTTATTTTGACGGGAATGAATCTGGATATGAATTATGGGAGACGAAGTTTTTTTTAGGCTACCTAAGAATACGAAAACTCCATGACATCATCTTTTGCAATGTCGACCAGGAGGGGGGCATGATGATTTTATGAATAAATGCGACCGTTTTCGCTGAGTTATTTCAATTCCTGGATGACTGGAGTTTGTCTTTAATAATGACGGAGGCCAAGGACAATGGAAGTCGAGCCCTACACAAATTTAAACGAATACTATTTGTTAAAAGGTAAGCCTAAAATTATTGCTTCATATACTTGAACTAACCGCGTTAAAGAGAAAAGAAAATGAATCAGTAACCAATTATTTTAGCAGAGAATGTCAGAAATGCTTTCAAATTGCAGGTGAGACTCTCTCTGATGGGCTACGAATAGCCATGGTCTTGAAGGGTTTGCCACCTTCATTCAAACCATTCAACTCAAAAAGATAACAAGTAACTTTCACTGAGTTTAAAATTGCGTTACGTAATTATGAAGCAATATGATAAATCTGTACCCCCAAAATCGATGCAAAAAATGTTGTTTTCGTTATGGTAATAATGTCAGCCATGTCCGTGCGAAATGTCAATTTTATACACGGAATGACTTTTGTAAACAAAAAAAAACTTTTTCGAATGGACGTGCATATGCCTTTTTTTTTGTTGGATTGAGTACTGTGGCCAGTACTTGTGATTCGGTCAATTCAGGTGCGACAAATCATTTAATTGGAGATGAAACAAAATTTATTAATTTTGACCCGAATTTTGAGCTCGACTGACATTTTATCGAGTTACTGGACGGCACCAGAGCTAATAATTTAGCGTCAAAGAGAGGTAGTGCCTGTACTTATCTGCGAAATACTAGAGGAAATATATAGAATGTTTATTTAAAAAAAAAAGGCTTTATATATTTTAAATTCAAGATATCCAGACAGAACTGGATTTAATATACAGCAATATGGACGTTTGTATTATTTGAAAAGTGTTAAGTCTGAGAAGATGGCCACGCATGACTTAAGAACTTGGCATAAGATATTAGGCCACTGTAAGAATTCTGATGTTAAGAGATTGCAAGAACATGTCACTGGAATAAAAAATTACACTTCCAAAGGATTTAAAATATTGTGACACGTATATTAAAGAAAAATGATTTAAACTTTGTTGCCGAATATTCAGGGCTTATGATATATTTTCTGAAAATAAATATGATAATCTGCAATCTACGAAAATCTATTTATCTGAACTCCCCGCATGGAAAATTAAAAATAATTTGGACAGATAATGGTGGAGAATTTACTTCTGATGCTTACAAAAACCTCCTAATAAATTAAATAAATGAAGGCATTAAAACATGAGAAAACCTGTTCTTATTCTCCGCATAAGAATGGAGTCGCTGAACGCAGTTGGTGGACACTTTTTGCAATGGCTAGATGTTTGTTAATAGAATTTAAATTACCCAACAAGCTGTGGTTTTATGCATTAAGAAAGAAACTAAAAACTCAATTAGAGCCCAATGTGAGTGATATGCATATTTTTGATATAATTTGCTATATATATATATATATATATATATATGTTGACCACAGGGCGGAATTAGATCCAAAAAATGAAAGGGACATATTTATTGGGTAGGATAAGCCAAGTCCAGACTATATGATTTAAAAGAAAAATGATGAGGAAGATCAGATGCGTCAGATTGATAAATTCTTTTGAGCGAGGAGAGGAACCTAAAAAAAATATATATTAATTGCGAGGAACTAGTCCAACTCGAATTAAGTCCACAAG